CGTGAGCTGCACATTCCCCAAGTGATTTACAACTTATAATGGCGCGAATAGGGCAATAAAACAATAAAATTTTATTATAAATAGATGTATAATGTTACAAACTTAGAGTTACTTAGGATATACGAATGTAGTTTCAGGTTACAATTTGAAGTCATACTAGAAAGAAAAGAAGGTTGATTTAGGTTTATTTTGATTTTTTTTGTGGTTACGAGGTTGGTCGAATTGACCGATTCAGTTTTGAGATTAGTGTAGAGAAAATATCATATAAACTGTAATGATTTAGTGAAAAAAAAAGTTTGAAATGCATTTAGGAGGTTTTAGGGATTACACAAAGGAAATCTGAGATTTTTGAGATGGTGAAAAGTATTTTTAATTTTAACATGGAAATTACTTTGCACATGGACTATTCAAACCAAATATTCAAAATATTCATGGACAAAACTTTATTTTATTTTATTAAAAGTACTTCATTAAGAAATATGACTTTTTGTCTCTGTATGTTTGTTTGTTAATTCTTCTAAGATACAAGTCCTTTCTTTATAAAACTTGTTTATTCTTCCTCAATACAACTTGTAAGGCACATAATTTTTACAGTTACACACACTATAGTTCACAACAATTCACTCATTTTCTATCGTGCTTAGACTTAATTGTCCGTCCCCGCCAACTATAGTTCCGATCTCTGTGTCTGCTATCCTCAGTTCCCGCCGACCGTAATCACTGTCTTTTTTTCTCTCTGCCTGCTTCGTCTCTGTCTTCATTACTGCTACGACTCCGTCTCGTCTCTCACTGTCTAGCTCACTTATATACGATAATACTGCCTGTTCTAGAAACTTCTAAGACTCTCAACACATGCTACCAGCGTCAATTGACTTCCACTGTCGTCATGTGACCACCGCTGTCGTAACACACTAGCGAATCTTCTAGAATACTCGTCACGTGACCCCCACTGTCGTAGCACTGCCCCTTCCTTAGTATTGTTCGTCCCGAACAGTAGCCACTTACATTAAACTAATAAACAATTAACAATAACTTAATTAAATGTATAGAATTTACAAACACAAAATTAAAATTCAACAAAGTCTTTTAATTTTTCAGGACGTATCTTCTTCCGCACTGGTATCTGTTTCATTGGCTTCTGCTTCATGTGGGGTTCATCTGCTTCATCAGATTTTCTAAAAACCACACAATGCAATGATTTAACAATACTCAGTTAAGGTAACGAGAAAATGTGATGTCAACAGTGTTAGTAAAGCCTAGACAACAATGTAATTGCAAATGCAACTTATGACTTGTACAGAGTTACATGACAAGAATTTGTTACAACTAACACTTTTAAAATAATCAATCTTCCACACTGTTATTATGAAAACAATATACGATCGTTAGATACTAAGTCATAAAATATAGTAAATAATAACACTTACACTAAACAGTCTTGTATATCCAACAGTAATATAATCATTATAATAAAAAAAAAGAATAATAACCTGATCTCTGGTCATTCTCCCAGTGTATATTTACTTACTGAATACTAAAAATAAGTTTTTCTGTAGGTAAATTACTTTGCTAAATGCAGTGACTTTCACTGTAATATTGACACGAAAGTTAAAAAAATTAATTTGCAAATTAAGATATCTCTGCAAGAGGTGAACTAATGGACATTAAAGATTATTTTAAAGCTCTAATACTATTTTATCAGATAACACTTTTAGTGCTTTTTATCCTTTGCTAGATATTTTAATGACAAAAACCACTAATTCCTGTATGATTGACTTTTAGAGTTTATAATAAAATGAGTGAGGACATTATAGAAAGCAGTAACATTTAGTGGTACATAATGTAGAGGAGTGTCTTTTTTACCTTTGTTTTATAAATAATTTAAAGTAGTGACTTTTTTATCATTTAATTTTTGTGTTTTTTATCTTTTAATTTTTTTAACAAGGGAAAACTCATGCTTATAGTACAAAACATTTTTTGTTTGTGGTATTTTGTATTTGAGTGTACATAGTTTATAAAATGTAAAAGTAATGCTTTGCAGTTAAAGTAACCTGCTTAGACTACTCATGTATGAGGTTATGTATGTAGAGTTTTGAATCTAATGGTTGTGTGGGGTGTGTCAGTGACTGCTAAGCTAAACCTAAGTGGGTTAAACCTATTCTACAACAAACAAACACTTTGAGCAAAATGGTCTGATCAAAAATTAAAAACTGATCAACTCATTTAGTCACTAGATCTAGTGATGTTTTCAAAACTGATCAAATTATCTAGACACTATATCTAGTGATGTTTTCAAAACTTATCAACTTATCTAGTCACTAGATCTAGTGACATTTTCAAAACTGATCAACTTATCTAGACACTAGATCTAGTGATGTTTTCAAAACTTATCAACTTATCTAGTCACTAGATCTAGTGACATTTTCAAAACTGATCAACTTATCTATACACTAGATCTAGTGATGTTTTCAAAACTTATCAACTTATCTAGACACTAGATCTAGTGATGTTTTCAAAACCTAGGTATTTGGAACAAGAATTAAAATTTAACAGGATGACAGTACCAATATTCTATAAATATGTCTATAAATAAAGGAAGAAATTCACACAAAACCTTGACACATAAACACTACTGTCTGTGGTGTGGCTCTAAGGGATGACAGTTCCCTTCCCCAAATCCCTTTCTCTTTGTAATGCATAAAGTTTATAAATCTTCTCACCCATGCACACACACACATTTTTAATTATTTGTATGTAATTTAGAGGAGTGTATTTTTTTATCTTTTTAGTTTTTATGGATATTTTTTTTAAAGTATAGAATTTTGTTTTAAAAATTGATAATGAAATGCAAATTTTTTTTAACGTTTTTGACTTAAATAGAGAGAGAGAGAGAATGCTCATTTGTTGGAATTATTTAAAAGCTGTTTTCATAACTGATTAACTAGAATGCTGGAAGAACTTTATGAAGACCATGGTGACACACTTGCTTTGCAATATGGTGGCTCACAGCTTGTACACAGAATAAAGTCATACAGAAAAGTTGCTCCTCTGTCCTCTCACTCTCGAGACATTATGCAAACTGTCTCCCGCTATTACAGCAATACCTTCTCAGGTGAGTTTATTGTCATAACCCGGAATATCAACCTAATAATTATATTCAGCTCAAAGTTGGCCATTGTTCATTAAAAACTAGAGTGCAAATGAATTGTTTGTTTTATGAAAACAGAGAAAACGTTTCAGGTGAACTTGTTATTACATGAAAAGTAATTTGTGTTGTTGGCACTGGATTGTATTAACTCTTTCGACATGGGCTCGGTCCCTGGGACCGAGTCACGTGACCTTCTGACCTACTCACATGATCTACTCATTTAAAGTTGACATAAGTTTAATACATATAACTCTCTATATATTGGGTATATCTTCACAAAATTTGGCAGTCTTTCAGTTAATATTACAAGTCTTTCACATAGGTAACAATACTGTTTTGAAACACTGTATAACATCTTCAAATCCTGAATACAGCTTCAGATACAGCTTTAAGATATAATCACTTTAAATATGATTTGTTTGTTTAATTACCAGCAAAGCTACTCGAGGGATACCTGTACTAGCTGTCCCTAATTTAGAAGTGATAGACTAGAGATAAAACAGTTAGTGAATACTATACACCGCCATCTTTTGAGCTACTTTTTACTAACAAATAGTAGGATTGTTTATTTCATTATATGCCCTCACGAATGAAAGGGCGACCATGTTTGGTGACAGGATTCGAACCCGCGACCCGTAGATTGCAAGTCGAACGTTTTGACTACCAGAACATAACAGGTACACTTTAAATATAGAGGTTTTATTTTATTTTGTTGTGTTTTGACATTCATTCTGTAATTGGCCAAGTACAATAACAGAGACTAACGGTAATACTTTGGAAACAGCGAAAAACTTAAGCAATTCGTAAGTATGTTTTAAGGAAGCACCTTGTCCAAAAAGATGTATATCAAGAGGTTGAGGCAACACCCGACAAATAGTAAATTATATTAAAATATGAAGCATGTCAACTAATGCTGGGTTAAACAGACAAGAAAGCTTTTCTAACTGGAGTTAATATTTATCATATTTTCTAGAATTTGTTTCTTTTACCACAGAAGTTTCACTTTTTGTGATCTAATGTTTTTTCTTCGTAGATTGTGAGCTGCTGTTGTTATCGTATCAATCTTCTTTGACAAGCAAACAAGGACAGCAGTGTGCGTTCGCGTTATGTGTTTGTTTATACAATACGAGTTCCACAAACCTGTTGTTGATAAAACCCAATCGTTTCTCAGACACTGGAAATGGTTGCCATGGGAATTTTTTATGAACGTTCATTTGCTGTCTCTGCTTGAGAAGAAATTATTAATTCAGTTCTACGTGTAATATTATCTGAAAAAGGCTTCAATTTTTGTCTCTTTTTTTTTCAGCAAGAAATAAAGAACTGTTGACTGGAAAATGACGAAGACAGAATGGGATGGAAGAAACAAATTTTATGTGAAGAAAATTCGCCTTAAAAATGCTTTAATTGGTTTGATAATACTTCTTCTCCTTGCCACATTTATAGCAGTACCACTTGCTATAATTTATTGGCCCCAAACTCCGCCATTGCCGATGGGAGAAAAGGACCGAATAGAGTGTCCTCTATCGGGTAGGATTTGCTTATTGTGGTTTTCATAAATATTTAGATATATATTGTGATGAGCTTTAGTTAAAAACAAAACAAACCAAGTAACCATAAATTTTTATTTAAGTTCTTTTTTTTTTTACTACTTGATGTATAAATCCAGATACCCAAAACGATCTTGCGGGTTAGATCTCGCTACGGATACAAGATTACTTCGAATTTTTGTGTTAATAGTTATATGTTCACGACGCACGTTTAATATTATTTCATTTGAATGCCTCGAGTTTTATAGTTATTTTATTGCAACTTATTCAACATTAAACTTATTTTTGTTGAACCCATCTTTGTGATATTTTAGTTCCGAAGATGAGCGTCACGATATACAATGTATCATAGTGAAAAGTTTACTATATATTAATATTAACATTATGCGCTATTTTTATTAAAAGTGCAGTATTTTTCTTTAGTTCCAGGCAATATAACCGAATGTGAAAACCGAGGGTGTATATGGTCTGAGGCCTCTGCTGCTCCTAACTGCTATATGCCGAAAAATATTCGACGATTTAATGTCACCAAGACAACTGATCTACCAGATGGCTTTAAGATAACATTGACGTATACGGGATTGCAAGACGTCTATAGCCCTAGCCTTCCGACAGTAGTTTTTGAAGTAGACTACCTCAACGACAACGTTGTTCGTTTTACAGTGAGTTTATGTATTTTTTAACTTTATTTGTGGTATTTATCTGTTCATATGTTGTACCGCGAAAAAACGGGTTTCGACACCCGTGTTGGGCACAACTTAGATAACCCATTGTGTAGCTTTGTGTTTAATAGGAAACAAACAAAAACAATTTTAAGTTGAATTGCATAAATACAACCATCCCTTGAGATTCGCGGGGGATGCTTTTCTAGAAGAAGCCGCGGATATGAAAATCCCAGATCTCAAAACATTAGTTTGATGGAAAATAGAGGCATATATTCCGCAGGTCATAAAATGACCGAAAATCTTTTTATTAACAATGAAATACAGCCCCCCAGATACCCACATCTGTAAAAATAAATAAAAGTATTATTTAAGAAAAAAAAAAAAAAGAGTCAACACTTACAATATTTACATTTTTACACTTAAAGGCTTGTATTTATTAGCCTTTTCACCAATGCTTTCATCATCACTACACTTACCCTTCGGAGCCATTTTGTTTTTGGGGCTTCACTTACACTTAAGTATTCACTAATGCACTTTTACAAAACTGTATTATCTGCTTAAAAACACTTCAAAAAATGTAAATTTTATTACTTTAGTTAATGCACAGTATTGGTATACATTTAGTAGAACTTCATGTACTGATGCACTTTTACAATGCCCCCCAGTGGCACAGCGGTATGTCTGCGGACTTACAACGCTAGAATCCGGGTTTCGATACCCGTGGTGGGCAGAGCACAGATAGTCCATTGTGTTGCTTTGGGTTTAACTTCAAACAAACAAGCAGACTTTTATAATATTAGTTAAAAAAACAACATTTAAAATAAATTAAAGTCGTGCTTTCGCTATTCATCCACTGTGCCCATTCGGTTGTGAAGCGGTTGCTTTGGAGATTAGTTCAAAGTGCGAAACAGTAGCGCGGATCTTAAATGTTGGTAACTAAAAGCTGACCGCAGAAATTTAGCACCTCGGTATTCAAACCCGTGATTCTCAAGGGTTTGATGCTTATGGACGTCACTAAGATCGGATATATTGTATTTTATTATTAATATTTGTTGATTTCTCGTAGTGTTTTCAACATTAATTTTCTGCTATGTATTACTGTTTAAATCATTCCATGCTTGTACAGAGGGGATGTTTGCAATCAATGGTAACAATACAAGGATTCGGCTTTGTATTACTGTTTAAATCATTCCATGCTTGTACAGAGGGATGTTTGAATCAATGGTAACAATACAAGGATTCGGCTTTGTATTACTGTTTAAATCATTCCATGCTTGTACAGAGGGATGTTTGAATCAATGGTAACAATACAAGGATTCGGCTTTGTATTACTGTTTA